CGGCCACAGCTTAATGCCGGAACAGCCAAGCGATGAGTTTGTTCACTGGAAGGGAAACCCTTTCTCTCCGCTGGGCTTCAGGGGCAGGTGTGGGGCATCTTTATTGACTCCACACTTGGCAGGGGATGAATGAAGGCTCATTCTGCACCTGGTGCTCCTTCACCCTTCCTAGGAAAGGACTGGGGATTCCTCCCCCTCATGGAGCCACACCCCAGCTATTGAGGGGATGTTAAGTCACCTGCTTAATTTTTTCCATCAAGCTCATCAAAAAATGGGGAATCAGAGAAGAATTACATAACACCTTGAGAAGTGATCATCTCCCACTCCAAGTGAATTCGCAGCTCAAGAATGTTTCAAATAGTGCTGGGAAAGATGCGCTTTCTGTGTACGGCTCCCTTCAGCAGACTTTGTTGAGAGGCCACAGTGCCTTTAATGTTCTCTTCTGCTTATCCTGCACATCTGTGGGTTAGCCTTTGTATCAGTTGTTCAGAAGATTTATCATCATTTTATGAGTGTGTTCTAAGATGTGCACGCATGAGTGAAATGACCTCCTCCCAGTCTTGCCTTTTAGGAAAGGTAATGGTGCATTGGCAGCAGTAAGGGGTTCTAAGACAGCAAATATGCTGGGTTTTTTCAATAAAAACTCGACTTTCTAAAATAATAAGACATAGAAGTAATATATTTTCTAAATGCAGCATACCACAAAGTGATACATTGTTTAGAGCATGATTTAAAGAAATGTAAGCATTTTAGTACCGCCTGGTACCTCTCTCAGTGACCTGAGTTACTAACATTCCTGCATCCTAATCTGTTGATAGAAATCTTTCATTCTTCCTCTTACAGCTCTTCAGTGTCAAAGGTCCATGAGCTTCTCTGTACAGAGAGTTCAGATTCCCCTACAGATTTTCTCTTTGTAGGAGGAACATAGTTCATAATTGCGTTTTTCTGTCTCTAGGGAAAGTTCTGAATTTCTCATTTCCGTGTTCGTAGCTTTTGCATCATTCTACTTTTGTGATCAAAGTCATGATGAAAAAAAATAGTTTTCCTATCTTTTGATTCCCTACCTGGCTTCCCTTCGATTATGCTTCTGTAATTAGATTTGCCTCGTAGTATTTTGTCTTAGCTTTCCTTCTGTCCTCACCTCCCTCTGCCTGTAAATCTAATATTATATATGAAATTTGGAGTTAAGATTTCTTCTGCTTCTGCTTAGCACACAGAAAATGAAAAGAATGTCATGCCTACCCTAAAAATGAGAGTAATTCAGGTACCTACAATACCATAGCTATTTTAAGCCCACCATGGAGCACAGGGCAGAAAGTAGCATAATGAACTGAAATGTTATTGAAAAGTGGCTAGTCCCCCAGAGGAGGACAGCCCCACGGCTGCTTTTGTCTTTGGCAGAGTGGCAGGAAGAGAAGGGGAGCCCTCATAGATGGGAGTAGGAAAACAGCTGGAGCTATAGGAATGGAAAGGGCTGAGTGTGGACTGGCAGGAGAGTCCAGAATTCTCAGGGACTCCGGGCTCACGGGGAACCCCCCCCCCCGCCTCCCCGCACACATGCACTCTACTTTTCCACAGACTTCAGTGAGTGTGCATGGTGGATTGGGAGCAGAACAGGCAGCTGAGAGAGACTCACTGAGGCAGAGGCGTGCCAGGCCTGCTCTCGCAGAGGACAGAGGAAGAAAGCTGAGAGACGTTCTCCACGCGCGGGGCCTGGAGCTAAGTGCCAGGCAGCAGCTGGCCACCCCCAATGGAAGGACGAGGAAAGCTGAGAGACAGCCCTTTGAGGAGTGGGTACACAGTGAGGTCTGAGGACCTGGAGAACGGAGAGAAACTCCATTTGCACACCAAGCCCAACACCAGGTGCCCAGCAGCAGCTGTCTGTGTCCTGGGGAGAGGCAGGATTGCTGAGAGCCCACCCACCACCACCCGCCAGGCACAGATCCTTGGGGCCTGCTGAAGGCTAAAGACAGGGAGAGCCGAGAGGAATTCCACAGCAGCTCCCGGCCTCACACCAGGGCAGGGGCTGTCTGCTGTCCAGGGTCCTGGGAATATAGCCATGAACAGAAAGATCCCTGCCCCTGTGGAATTGTCTCCTGGTGGGAGAAACAAAATGAAGGCAGGGGGCAAGTAAGTGCCATAGAGGAAAATAAGGCAGAGGAGCAGGGGTGTGGTGAGCAGGCCTGAGGAGGGTTGCAGTGTGGAGCAGGGAGCAGGAAGACACACATGCTACTAAAGCAGTGGCCCGAGAGTTGCTATCTTTGGGGAGGATAGTTCAGGAGGGACCACGAGACAACGCCTAACACGGAGCCTGCTGGACCAGGTTTCCAGAACAGCAGGCAATATAGTGTGTAGGGTCAAGCCCTACAGGGTCGTGGGGTGTCCCCTGTCGCTGTGCTGAGGCGCTGGATCCACGAAATAAAGAGACAAGACACCAAAGGACTTAAAAAGACAGCTGGGCTCAGGGGGCCACACCACTTACAAGGAGAGACTGGCGAGGCCCCGAACATCCGGAAGTGTCTGTATTTATTGGGTATAGGTTAGGGGGCAGAGTAGTGAGTGAGGTCATCTTAAGGATTGTGATAAGGTCAAGACATTCACCTGAGCGATAAGCAAGGGGCCCAACCCCGTTAGGTGACTGAGGCAAAGAAGTGGGCAGTGTGCAACAAGGGGTCCACCCCGTTAGGTCACCAAGGAGGTGGGCAGTGTGCAGTAAGGAGGGTGCAGTTTGCATCATCTCTTGTCTATGGGCAGGCTACTTCTAAGGATATCTATAGGAGGATGCTTTGAGTCAGCACAGTAGCTAGAGAGCTGACAGGGTATACCGCCACCTGCTGGCAGCTTCTGAGAATTTCTGTAGGAGGATGCTTTGAGTCAGCACGACAGCCACAGAGCTGACAAGGTTCAGAGTCGCCAAGGCGCGATTATACCGGAGGGGTTTTAGGCCCTCAGACGCTGGCAGGATTGCCTGCCAGAGGCCAGCTTTCCACGAGAACTGTACGCAGGGTACTGCAACTCCTTTTCAGAAGGAGTGACTCTTGCTCCAGCTGTGTCATACAGCGGGTATCTTTACAATACTGAACGCAGCCACCTGGGCCAAACTGCCATGTAGCGCATGCCCTTTCAGGCAGGGGCACTACTGCCTGGGCCAGATTCTTGTCCTGGTACAACTGTTTTTCCCTTAAATCATGCTCTGCGCCATGTCTGCTCTAGACATTCCTCTGACTATAAGCAAGATATAATTATATATGTATAGCTGCTTATTCCTTAATTCATGCTCCGTACCTTATCTGCTCTAGGCATTCCTCCGACTATGAACTAAGATATATATATATATATATATGGATGGAAATAACTAAGTGGTAGGATATTCTTCAGGTACTAATTGTTCCGACCATAAACTAATAAATGATTGTATATAAAGGATTATATAAAGAAAATAACTGAATAGTAACACTATGAACTAAGATATTCTTAAGGCACTAATTGTGCCAGGGATCTGCCTAGCTCTCCTTCCTCGGTGCCCAGATCGGGGGTTACCCACATAGTGAAGGCAGATGACTCAGAAGAATAAAGGGGTCAGGTGGAGATTGTATAAGGACCTTGCAGGCCAGTGTAAAACCTAGGCTTTTAGGTTAAAAGGCTGTGCCATGCCTTTATAGTGGTATTTTCAATGACCATAGTTTAGAGTTTAGGAAACTAAGCCTACAGCTTATGAAACTGCTTAAAACACATTTGAACAGAGTAAACCACTCTTAAAACATCAGCTAAGTAGTAGGCTCCACCATCTTACCCCATGTACTACATGAAATTATTTGGAAATCAAGAATATTAATATATAATGTTACTTATTACATTATGGGATTAAGGATAGTTTTTATTCCTGATGTTTTTCATTGTGTTTCAAGTCAAAAATTAAGGAGGAGTAATATTAGGAATATATCTGCTCAAGTTTTTGTTTTAAATACACATTCACACAACAGGCATATGTGCGCCTAGCAGCACTTAAGGCACTCTAGTGAAACCAGTGTGCCCCTTGACTCCTGTTTATTTCCCGGGTCTTGCTCTGTATCTTAAAGCAGGCAGAAGTCAAGGAAGCTGGGTGGTGCAAAGCATGAACTTTGGAGTCAAAGTTAAGGTCAAGGGGTCACCCTCCGCCCTGGAGCTCCCTGGGTCTCCCTGTCCCTGTCTGGAATGAAGACGGTGCCATCTCCCCAAAGGTGGTGTCATGGAAGGGGTGCCCAGGCAGGAAGTAGCGGGCCTGCAGTGGCGGCCACTTCTCCTTCTGCCCTCAGGGACCTCTTGTGGAAGTTTATCCTGTGGGATGCTTGCTCCTAGGGATGTCCAGTTGTCTGCAGCTGTCTGTCCTTGAACCCTTCCTGGGTTTGGTTTCCCAAGCGCTGTCACTGGGTGGTTTCACCTGCTCGTGGTGAGTGCCCAGGGTAGCTGAAGTCAGCAGGGGCGTCCCCACCTTTCTGGAGACGTGGCTGAGTTGGAGGGCACCACACCCAGGTACCCGCCCCCCCCACCTTCTCCTCCCACTTGTCTTCCTCAGAACAGCCATCCACTTAGGAAGTGAGCTCTAAAAGGCCTCACCAAAAGATCTTTTGTCAGGAATTTGCTAGTTTTAAATAAGTTATTTAAATAATCTGTCAGAAAAGTGTGGGGAAAAAGACAACCCTTTTTACTCATGTAAACGGGGCTGTTCCCGTCTTGATTAACCACATTTTTTCCTCCCCAAAACACTTATTTGCACTCACAAAAAGCACAACTTTGGTGATAAAGTTAGGATTTCAGTCTCTTGCACCTGTGAGAGTGTTTATGATTGTTTACGTGTGTTCCTTTTTGCAGTGAAATTGGTTGCGTTTTTCTTATTAACATGTTTAACTTATGCAGCATTCGTGCGGCAGACGACTGCAGCTGTGATTATGGGGTCTGAAGCGAATGAGATTAAACACCCACAGCGCCCTTTAAAAACTGTTCTTGCTTTATTTTCACAGCAAACCCAAGGAGCCTGTATTCAGTGCAGGTAAGTCTGATTTAATTTTTTATGGGTACCCCTCACTCACTTCCTCAGGACTCAAGGGACACAAAAGAAGTAGCCAGCCTCAGGGGCCAGCCTTGGACACACAGGAGCTTTGGTTTGTGCAGAGCGGCTAGAGTGCTGTTGGCCTTTTACCTGGTAGTTGAGTGGCTTGGATAGGGACAGCAAGACTGCCCATAAACAGTCGTAAAGAGTAAACCCTTCACCTGCCCTCTCCAAAACCAAAGTAAGACAGGCCAGTAAGGAGGAGAGTGGAATGCCACCACCTATGCCCTTGATGGAATTTCTAGAGTAAAAGGTGTCTGTTGCCTTGGTTATTCCTTTCTTACTAACTGGATTCTGTCATCAACATTTGCATTTCTCTTAGGGGAAAGTTTCTTATGCTTCAAGTTATATAACTGTCTAAAAGTAGCTTTTCTTTTTCTGCCTATGATCTCCTAAACTGCAAACTAATAGTTCAAATATATCTTTCCATATATCTTTTTTAACACCTGTTGTAATAAGGTAGATGCTGTTGTCTAGCGTCTTAACCTTATCTAGAAATGCACTTAAGATGCAAGAAATTGATAAGTATGTAATTGATTAAATACATTCATTGAATTGTTCTAGTTTTTTTCTTAAGTTCAGAAATAAAACCTAAAAGGCAACGTTTTCTATTTAGCAGCATGTGCTTTAGAGTTTATTTCATTTTCAGGACGCATGAAATTACTCACTGAAAATATAATTGCTGTGGGCTCGCAGGGCCACATCGTGAGCGCACTTGTCTGGATCCCTGAACTGTGTCCAGATTTTAATAAAGACTGGGGGGCAGGGCAGGTGTCGGCCTGTGGGCTAGTGAGTGCCCCGGGCTCTGGGGCAGGCAGGCCAGCCACACTTGCAGTACACCACCATCTCTTTATCTAGCCCTTCTGTCTCTGTCTCCGAAATCACAAGGGAAACGCCGGGTGACACACTGCAAAGGTAGGCAGCATTTCTGAAACCTCATAGCTCTCTGAGCAAAGCTGTTACCCAGGCTACAGAAACCTTTTTCATACAGGCAAACAGATGCTCTCCTTGTATGAAAATGTTTTTGTGTTGCAAACTACTTGGATTCATTTTAAGTTAAAAGCATCCCTGAGCATTTACTTGGATGGGCTTTAATGAGTGGCTATAATTTGGATCCCAATGGGTTATTGGCTGATTGCAGGAATTTTTTTTCATCTACATAAACCTTAAGAGAGCTATAGGGCCACCCCTGGATGTCCCACTGTTTGACTTGGTACCGTGCACTGCTGCTGGCCTCTTCCCACTAGCGCCTTTGGTTTGGTGGCGTGTTGCTGTTATCCTAACCTGCCTGGAACAAACACTGCTTTTCCTGGCTGCATTTTGATTTTAGATGTAGCCTGTCTGAATCACCAGTAAAAAACAGTGCCAAGGCTAACTTCAGTGCTTTTTTTTTTTTTTTTTTTTCCTAGTTTGGTAAGTTAAAATTGTGCAGTAAGTAAACTCAGTCCTAAGAATTCTTAATCAGCACGTACCTGTGATATACTCAGGTAGATATTTCATAGACATTGGTTATATACATCCACAGTGTGCTTTTTTATGTATTGTGGAAATAGCATTATATTGTCTTTATTCCTAACCTACGTTCTGCTACCTTTCTGGCAGGACTGATTCTCTTACAAAGAGAGCCGCTAGAATTTCTTTTCATTTAGCTGTCAATTCCAGTCTCTTGCCCCTCTTTTCAACAATGTCAATCTTTTAGGTGCTTTAGATTCTTCGATTGTGGTAGCCACACAGCCCCTGCTGAGCTTAGATTTGGGTGAGAGTTAAGGAAGGGAAGAAGCATCAGAGAACAGCATGAGCAGCAGCACAGATAAGACAGGGCATGGGGGTGGTGAAGACACACCTGGCCCCAGAGAGAATCCCCGTGGGTGGCTGTGGCAGATGAGGTCCTGTGCGGTGAGAGCCTAGCAGGGCACTTAGACCTGCTGGATCCAACAAGGAGGAGAGCAGGTGAAGAAATTTGCATGGAGGAAGTGCTCCATAAAATCTGGTTTGGGCCTTGGTGGGTTTGGCAGCAGTGTGTAAGCTGACCCGGAAGTGCTCCATAAAATCTGGTTTGGGCCTTGGTGGGTTTGGCAGCAGTGTGTAAGCTGACCTGGGAGAGCCATAAGAGAGCCTGTGGTGATGGGGCCCCAGTGCGTCTGGGGAAGTTGGCACCAGTGTGGGAGACATTCAAGGGGAGGATCCACAGGACACAGTGGCTGGCACACACAGGCAGGGATGATCGCGTTCATGACTCTGACTCAACGTCAGTCTTAATATGCAGTGTGAAGAGTGTGTCACATGCATGCATTGAAGACCTGAGGCACATGCACACAATAACATAAAACTGGGATGCCCTCTCAATTTTTAAATAATATTGCATGTATGGCATTGTTTGCAAATCGTTAAGAATAAGACTTCTAAAACTAACTTGTACTATAATTATTTCCTAACTGTTCCTTGCCAATTTCCTCCCTGCGGATGATTTTTCTGTTGAGTTGTATACAGGTATCCCTGGTTCCAACTCCCCAGTTTAAATACCATTAAGACTAGGTCCTTTGATCTGCAGTGAAGTTTCAGAATTCAGCGAGTTCTGAATCTGAATGGAATTCACCAGGAGCTCAAAGACATTTTCTTTGCCCTTGTCATATCTTGAGAACTCCAGTCAGAACACCCCAAGAAGTTCTTTTTAAGGTCTAGGAGTCACCCTGTGTCAATATATTATTGATATTTACTTTTGTCCCTATAATTTATTGAAATAGTAAAAGTTATTATAGAAATGTTCGTTCTAGAGAGTTTTGCATCCTGATTTCTCTCTCTAATGAGTCTTTTGTTCTTCTGTTTTTCATTTCTAGATTTTCTTTCAGCATTTTCCTTTTTGTATTGCATCCTAGCATGCACTTCTGCTGATTTTGTGTTCTTTACACTTAAAAGAATTGTCCAATTAAAAGATGCATAAACATATATTTTTACATTGCAATATAACAAGTCCATTTAAATATTGAAAAATATTTTGTGAATTTGGATGGTGAGATTGTGTATACATTGAACTCAAAAACTTTAAGTGGATTTCTTGTGTTAGCTGAATTTTAGAGGGATGGTATTTTTCCCCTACTGATGGTAAAAGAAAGTGTAAGCAGTAAAATCTCATGGAAAATCATTGTTGGAATCAGGCTCCTTCCTGCCTTTTGTAATTTCGCACATATCTCATGTACTTAAGTAAACAGAACATCAGACGCAGACAAGATGCAGACTTTTGTTCAAAGTATTTACTTTTATGTTACTTTTCCCCTAGGACATCAATTAGAAATGACAGAAGGGTTAAAGTTTCTCTTTTACACCGAAAGGCTAGAGAGGGTGCAGCATTTGTTTTCTGGGACGCTGGGCACTGAGATATCTTACTGACATCTTTGTTCTTTTTGTAGAAGAAGGCTATGTAAAAATGTTTCTTCGTGGACGTCCTGTTACCATGTACATGCCCAAAGACCAAGTGGATTCTTACAACTTGGAAGCAAAAGTAGAACTTCCAGCCAAGAGACTCAAGCTGGAATGGGTGTATCCTTTGTTCATCAGTTAGGTCTTACATGAAGTTATCAGTCAATCAATGCTTGATGTTAACTATAGAAATTCATAAAACTTAAATTCTCTTAAGCTTTTAAAAAACAAATGTTTTACTCCTATTTTTAAAACTTAATATAACAAAACTTACTATTTCAACTTATCATTCTTGAACACAATAGCTGTGGTTCTGACTCAAATGTATTATTTTCCTGAAAAGAAAATATGAAGATGTTATATGATTGTATGAGTGATTTTTTCTTTGTCAGGAGAAAATGAATCACTAGTTTCTGGTCCGAATTTTATTCTTTTCAAAAGAATGACAGTAGTAGTTAGAAATATATAAAGAAGCAAACAGTGAAAATAATCAAGAATGGATAAAATTTTAGATTCTAATGAGAATAAACTGATTTTTTTTCCTTTTTTTTTTTAAGAGTTGGAGTCTTCCTATGTTGTCCATGCTGTTCTTGAACTCCTGGACTCAAGTGATCTGCCCACCTCAGCTTCCCAAAGTGCTGGGATAATAGGCGTGAGCCACCACACCTGGCCAAGAGCCAACTCCTTTTTTTTTTTTGAGTTGGAGTCTCGCTCTGTCACCCAGGCTGGAGTACAATGGAGAGATCTCAGCTCACTGCAACCTCCACCTCCTAGGTTCAAGCAATTCTTCTGCCTCAGCCTACTGAGTAGCTGGGATTACAGATGTGCGCCACCACATCCAGCTGATTTTCGTATTTTCAGTAGAGAGGGGTTTCACTATGTTGGTCAGGCTGATCTCTAACTCGTGACCTCGTGATCTGCCCTTCTCAGCTTCCCAAAGTGCTGGGATTAAAGGCATGAGCCACCACACCCAGCCAAGCCAATTATTCTTAACAGGAGCTACCATATACTTGGTCAACTCTTCAGGGACAGATGGAAAACTGGGCACTCTATATTTATAAGAAACAACAGCAACAATACAGGAAAATATTGTACTTATGAATGAGGGAATAGGAATATCAAAAATTGAAACTAAACCACATTGGCAAAAAAGTTTTTAAACCCAAACAAAGAAAGAGGGGTACTCTGAAAGGAGGACTAGCATTCTCCCCTTAAACCAAGTATGGCCTTGGCCAGCCTTAGGAGTCTAACTTCAAGAGTGATCTTGACTGAAGGGACAATAGAAAAATATGAATATCAAAGTACTGAATGAAGGGAGCCAAATGAATGACTTAAATGAAGTTGACATGTCATGTAGATATCATCCTACTTTTTTATTTTTTTAAAAAAAGGAAGCTAGCTGCAGTGATGCACGCTGTAGTCCCAGCTGCACAAGAGGCCTAGGCAGAAGCATCCAGGAGTTCAAGTCCAACCTGGGTAGCATGACAAGTCCCTGTCTCAAATATATATACATTAATATAAATCAAAAAGACTCCCCAAAAATCTAGACCACAAAAACCTGAATCAACCATATAACTAATGTTCTTGAAACAGTTGCTGGCAGCTTCACAGTATGAGGTTTGGAAAAGTGAGCTTCCAGGGAAAAAAACAACTGAAAGATAAGAAAATAGAAACTGTGAAAAAGATAAATTAAATGTTGATTATTTTTCCATTTATTTCCATTTCCTTATTACTTTAGGGGAAGCCTAGAGAGACCACCTTTCAGTCTATGCAGATTTTAAGGCAAAAAAAAATTTTTTTTTACCCTCAAGTATTTGTTGAGTACGTAAATGCCAAGCCTGGAACAAAGACTGTAAGATGTTGGTTGTGACTTCACTTAGAAGAATTACTATTTGAGATTATAGAATCATATTCTTTAGAAATTAAAAAAAACTTCCACCTGTTCCTAAATTTCTCCCCAAAAATACATTTTTTATTTTTTCAGATTAAAATGTTATAGGCATTTATGGGCACCCGTTTTGGAATCTATTTTGATACATGAAATTGAAGTGCTTCAGCGTGTCTTTTAGTCAGTAGTGGTTTACTAAATGGTTACATCAAATCTGGAAAACATTATTCAAAACATTTATTCAGCCTACTTCCTGTTCATATTTTAGAAGACATAAAGCAATGAAATTTGCTCAAAATAAATGGCTTTTTTTTTTGGCCAGCTTACTTTTTACATCCAAGTTCAAGTGATGTTTTCTCAAAATGAAATAATTTTCAAGGTTTGGAAGTATAATGCCAAAATTTTAACAGGGATACTTATCCCAAAGCTGCTGAGGGACCTGATTTTTTTTTTTTTACCTTTTATATATGTTTGAGTGCACATGTATGTGTCATTTGTACCCTTGTAAGTACCTTTATCATGTTTAAAAAAGAAATTTTTTAGTAAAAAAATTTAGCTCGTAGATTATAGTAAAAAGAAAAGATTAATAATTGACTCAGTAGCTCCCTAAAAATAAAACCAACTTTGTAAAAATATGCATTCACATTACATCAATGACTGTTTCCAACTTTACTGCATGCCTTTTGGGGGTCACGTGTATGTGTCACCGAGTATTTGCAATTTCATGTTATTTAAATTAGTGGCATTAATGGTAATAGTTATATGGTATTTTATTGCCTGTGCCTGTTGAATAAAGCTGATGTTTTGTCAGCTCTTAAAGGGGAAAAAAATTTTATCTTGACATCCACCAAGCTATGGGTACAGGGGTCGAGACTGCCGTAACAACCTGTACTTGCTTCCAACGGGAGAGACCGTCTACTTCATCGCGTCCGTGGTGGTGTTATACAACGTGGAGGAGCAGCTGCAGAGGCATTACGCTGGCCACAACGATGACGTGAAGTGGTAAGTCCTAAAACAGGTCGTTCCTGCTACCCGGAAGGCTGAGGTGGGAGGATCGATGGAGGCCAGGAGTTCCAGACCGTCCTGGGCAACACAGTGCGACCCTGTCTCTAAAAAAATTAATAAATAAATGTGTTTCCTGTTGCACAGGTGGAAATAGTATTAGCAGAACATGCTCGGTATTGGGACATAGCTAAAGAGAAGGAAGAGGGTCCGAGGAAATGAGATCTTTGGGGAAAGCTCTTCCGTATGTTCTCTGTATGGTCTGCTAGCTACTCCGCTCTGTGAAACACCTCTCATACTTAGTTTTCTAGCCTCACCAGCACATGAGCTTAATGGACCGCATTACATCAACAAAGAGTGCCACCTGTTTGGAGACCTTCTTAACACATCATGTGTTAAAGGCTTCTAATTTAGGTCTTTATTTTTTGATAAACATAAAAACATGTTGCCTTATGTTTGTGGCTAAGTCAGCTTTTTCCATAATTTTACGTGTCTTCCATAATGGGAATTTATGGAAGATACATAAAATACGTAGGCATTTTACGCATCTTGGAAGGATGGATGCATGAAGAGTTGAATTTATAATTTGTATTTGTCCTGGTTTCTTGGTCAATGATAAAAATCCTGTTGGTGAAAGATGGTATCTTTCCTATTTAATATACTCAACATGACTTTTTAATAAAGATGGTAGACTAATGTAGTAGTTCTGAGAATGAAATGGTATTTTCCCAGCAGAGGTTGCTTTTCCCTTAAGTTTGAAAATTCTTAAGAAGAAATAAGGGAATTAAGATGAAACGAAATAGGCACTAGTTGTCTAACGTCATGGTGCTCAGAGAATTTGTTGTGAGTCTGTAAGAAGTCAGGCATTATGTGTTTCTTATATTTAAATTTTTGATTAGATTATATTTGTGCAAGGGAAAAGTAAAACTTAGTGCAACGTGTAGATGTTTTATAAATATCCTTTTCTTAGCCTAGCAGTTCATCCTGATCGGATCACGATAGCAACAGGACAAGTGGCAGGCACATCGAAGGATGGAAAAGTGAGTTACATTACCTTTTCATCATTTTGTAATGAACTGGTAACACAGAGTAATTTTTAGAAAACATTATGCTGTGGAGTAAGGCTGCTTAGATATAATTATGGTATCTGAAAACTTCTAAACCCCTCACTAGAATTTCTTATTGTAAATTAGAAGACTTACTGTGTGGCAGGGCGCAGTGGCTCACGCCTGTAATCCCAGCACTTTGGGAAGCCAAGGCGGGCTGGATCACTTGAGGTCAGAAGTTTGAGACCAGCCTGGCCAACATGGTGAAACCTTGTTTCTCCTAAAAATATACAAAAATTAGCCAGGCGCGGTGGTTCATGCCTGTAATCCCAGCTACTTGGGAGGCTGAGGCAGGAGAATCGCTTGAACCTGAGAGGCGGAGGTTTCAGTGAGCCAAGATTGTGCCACTGCACTCCAGCCTGGGTGACAAAGAGAGACTCAGTCTCAAAAAAAAAGAAAAAAAAAAAATACTTATTGTGACCTTAGAAACCCCTGGAGCTCGTCTTGATTTCATCAGATTTTTAAATAGCATTGTTCTGAACAAAGAATTCACTAATTCTTAAAATGTTTGCTTACATACATAAGCATTAAAATTTGTAATTTTAATGAAGTTAAAATTATAATAAATAATTTTAATATACAATATTTTGCCAAAGTTCAGCCACCCTCTGCCCTGTCCTGTGATTGTCCTGTTAAATGATGACTTTACCCCATGGAGTTTATGTCTGTGTGCAAGGTACGAAAGCTACTAGGAGGTTTTTAGCACAAATTTTGCAAGCACTTCAGCAAGATTTTCATTTGCATTTTAAGGCGTTAGAGAGGGAGCTTGTAGCTTTTTTGATATCTACTTTATGTAGCTTGTTATTGCATAATATTTTATCTGAAAACTAATTCGTTTAAGCACATCCATTTTCTCAACATGTTTTCAACCAGAAAAAAAATGAATACTACCATATTTCAGAAAATATTTTAATAACGTTAGATTTTAAATATTAATCTTATGCTATTTTCCATTAACTTTTTTGTTTGTTTGTTTGTTGAGACAGTTCTCACTCAGCTTGTCGCCCAGGCTGGAATGCAGTGGCACCATCACGGCTCATTGCAACCTCCGCCTCCCAGGCTCAAGCAGTCCTCCCACCTCAGCCTTCTGAGTAGCTGGGAGTACAGGCACCTACCACCTTGCCCAGCCTTTTTTTGGTTTTTTTGTAGAGACAGCGTTTCACCACATTGTCCAGGCTGGTCTCAAACTCCTGGGCTCAAGCGATCCACCCACCTCGGCCTCCCAAAGTGCTGGGATTACCAGGGTGAACCACTGCGCCTAACCTTTATTAATATTTTATACTTGAAAATAGTTAAGAGAAGTCATGGAAATAAGACTACTATTATGTAAATTCACTTAAATCGAATGGGTCTGTCACTCTTTTTTAATGTTAAATGGCCTTGAAAAATTCTTCGAAATTAGTGGTAAGCCATTTGTCTCTCCCTCTAGTGGCTTAAAAGTATATTTCAGTTTCTGGCATTGAATCAGAACGTAAGATCCAGAGAAAAATGTTTATAGCTGTCTTTCAGTTTACCCGTAAAGAAATCCGCAGAGGCCTAGTGAATGCCTGTGGACACCCAGCTACTTAGAGATTAGACTGAACTAGAACCTGGTTCACCTAACGCCTGCCTAGTGTTTGTGCTAATTTTAATGCCAGCACCTTTTCTTATTGATAAATATGCTGGTTGCTGTATGATGCTTTCTTCTATTAAAGAAGAGAAAAATTAGTGTAAATAACCTAGGAACACAGTTGAGAGGATTTTAAAACAATTCTAACAATTCTAAATCTTATTTGTACATAATGGGTGTCTGTTTTGCCCAAGAATGTTAGGCTCTTTTATTTATTTATTTATTTATTTATTTATTCTGAGATGGAGTTTTGCTCTTGTTGCCCAGACTGGAGTACAGTGGTGCAATCTTGGCTCACTGCAACCTGTGCCTCCTGGGTTCGAACAGTTCTCTTGCCTCAGCCTCCCAAGTAGCTGGGATTACAGGCATGCACCACCATACCCGGCTAATTTTTTGTATTTAGTAGATAGAGGATTTCACCATATTGGTCAGGCTGGTCTCAAACTCCTGACCTCAGGTGATCCACCCACCCCAGCCTCCCAAATTGATGGGATTACAGGCATGAGCCACCACACTCAGCCTGTTAAGCTCTTAATATTATTTGGTGGTGACCATCTTATGAATTTAGGCATGGTGACACCTTAGCAACAAAACAGACTTTAAAAGAATAAGACATATGTGAGATTCCATTTCACTTGTCATTTTTCATTTCTAAAATTCAGACACATCTAGTGCACAAATTAAAGTGTCAGTTCCTGTGGTACTATTGTCAGAAATTGGCCATTCAAATTCTAAAACTCAGTAGACCTCTCCTTATTGTTAAATTATCAACAAAGCTCTTCACCTCCTTAAGCCATGGGAAGGTTTTATTTACATAAAAAGGCAGACTCTTGAAATGCAGAAAAAGATCTTTAGTTTTGACAAAGTCCAAGTTACTGCCCAGGTAATCTCGTAGCTTCAAAGTAAAGACGTGTATAATCGTCACAATTGATGCTCTGCATTTTTTTTCTAAACAGCAATTGCCCCCACATGTGCGCATCTGGGATTCTGTGACATTGAATACTCTCCACGTCATTGGCATAGGTTTTTTTGACCGAGCAGTCACCTGTATTGCATTCTCAAAATCTGTAAGTATGTGCCCTGTGGGTATTGCTGTCTTCTTCCACAGGAAGTAGAGAATCAGCTCAGGGTTAGAGAGGGAGGGTTAGAACTGTCCGGGCGTCTGTACAGATTTGGACTGTGAAACATTCCTGCTTCCCAGGATCCCTCAGTCAGAGGTCATATACATGTCTCATCAGGGCCAATCAGATGTCTCCAGCCACATGGGTTTAATGATGAAAAGAGGCCCCCAAACACATCATCCTCACTTTCCTTAAGGAAGATTGCCTGCTCTGGCCTTGAATTCTACCTGCTCCCTTCAAGGGTGGCTCCAGTGTGTCTCTGCCATCCTACTACTAGAAAGCGGTCCCGATCCAGACCCCAAGAGAGGGTTCTTGAATCTCTCATAAGAATTTAAGGCAAGTCCATAAAATGAAAGCAAGTTTATTAGGAAAGTAAAAGAATAAAAGAATGGCTACTCTATAGAGCAACCCTAAGGGCTGCTGGTTGCCCATTTTTATGTCTGTTCGTTGATGATATGCTAAACAAGGGGTGGGTTATTCATGCCTCCCCTTTTTAGACCATATAGGGTAACTTCCTGATGTTGCCATGGCGTTTGTAAATTGTCATGGTGCTGGTGGGAGTGTAGCAATGAGGACAACCAGAGGTCACCCTTGTTGCCATCTTGGTTTTGATGGGATTTAGCTGGCTTCTTTACTGCAAGCTGTCTTATCAGCAAGATTTTGATGACCTATATCTCGTGCCAACCTCCTATCTCATTCTGTGACCTAGAATGCCTGTGTGGAAAGCAGCCCAGTAGGTCTCAGCCTCGTTTTACCCAGCTCCTATTCAAGTTGCTGTGGTTCAAACACCTCTGATGTTTCTCCCCTCCCTTTTATAAGAGAATCCTTAATCCTAAGGATTGTAGAGGGACAAAGATTCATCTTTGTAACTTCTTCAGGCCGAGTAGGGGTGATGATATTCCTGCCTAACTGTTAGAGTCCCTCGTATTTGGGGTAGAGAAGAGCTCAGTCAGAAAGCATCAGTATGGCAAGGTAATATCTGGAAGATTAATAAGTGTTCAATTTAAGAAAACATTGAGTAAGCTAATCCTGCATTCCTACACAACAGCAAAATGTTCCACAACAGTAAAGCAGAATAAACAAAATTATCCCAAGTAAACTAAATAAGAAGGCTTTTTATGAACTGGGCAACTGTTGGAACCTAGCTGATTCCAGTGTGTCCAGAATTAGAATACTGATCCAGATATTTACATTACCCATCACTCTTATTTATTCTGAGCAGCAGTCAGAGATCACTGGTTGGTTCACAGAAATAAGTAGAGTTAGTCTAAATTGTAGGAAAACTTAAAAACAACTGACGAGACTAGAATCTAATAACAAATATACCACAGTTCTTGAAACATAATTTTTCTCTCCAGTCTCCCATTTTTACTAAAGACAAACCATAATAAGCCCGATCTGTTTGCAAAAATAAGCCCTAGTCTTATATACTTGGCTTCATTATTTGTATAAAGTGCAGCAAGAATCATTACTTTGCACATAGGCTTTTTAAATTTGCTTTGATGGAATGCTGTTCCATAAAGAATCTCAAAAAAGACCTTTTTAAAGCCCAGCCATGAATTTATATCCTCAAATACCTATGAGTTGGGTAAATTCCCCTCCTCTTGTGGGTCCCAAGATAGCTTGGGGCTCCTGGGCCTGTGAGAAAGTGACATTCTTTACTTACCATAGGTCAGGAACCCTGTACAGAGACTGTGGAGACAAGGTATGAGGCCAGTTTCCCCCAAGGGGGTTCTATTGGCTCTGCAATTCAAGTTTGATTTCTTAAAGGAAAGCATGCCATTCCAGTCAAAGGCTTGGTAAAATAACCAGTTTCTCTAGTTGTGTCCTGTTACAAATGAAAGCAGATTCTTTACACTTATGCAAATAACAGTATTGCCATAAATTTAAGAATATCTATAAATAGTTTCGAAATTCTGGAGAAATCAAGTAGAGAGAAACAAATGTGCTTCAAATTTTGTTCGTAGCAGTATACTTTACTTGATTGTTAAAAGCTCTAAATAGCTCAAAAGAAAAATTTTTTTTGACTTTGAAAAAAAACAGAGGATCAGCAACGTTTTAAGCAAAGTCAAAAAAGATGACTCCAGTCTGCTATTGGTTTGGTTCATGCAGTTAACTCCTGTTCTGCTTTGAGATTCAGGAACACTTGAGCTTTCCACGAGAGTCCTGAAAGTTTTTTCCTCTATTCTAATGTTACAACTTCGAAAGTTATCAGAAACTTGCATTGAAGAGCACCTGTTAAAGGCCTATAGCTGATCATAAGCCACCTTTTAAATTGGACCAAAACAAAATAAGAATTGTCTGTGAATGGCAAAAAGTATTAGGACAGCCACTATTAAAACCACAATTGACAAGGAAATGCAGTTACTCCTGGACCATACAATAATTTACAGTAACAATTACAACTATTAATAACATACGGTAAGTTATATCAGAATTATAGGAGTTTCACCTAATTTTGGAATACATACCAGTAACATATTTGTACAAACAGCCCAAAGAAAGTCAGTTTCCTATTTGACAATGCTTCCTGTATGACTTTTATATCAAGACAAATTTCACCTTTATGTTAGTGTACTATTGATGTTAAATATTCTTAATAAAACCTCATAGACAAATCTATTCAATTTTTTTTTTTTTGACGCAGAGCCTCACCCTGTCACCCAGACTGGAGTTCAGTGGCACGATTTCAGCTCACTGCAACCTCTGTCTCCTGAGTTCAAGCAATTCTTCCACCTTAGCCTCCTGAGGAGCTGGGATTACAGGTGCACACCACCACACCTGGCTATTCTTTTTTATTTTTGGTAGAGATGGATTTCACTATGTTGGCCAGGCTGGTCTCAAACTCCTGACCTCAAGTGATCCACCTACCTCAGCCTCCCAAAGTGCTGCAATTACAGGCATGAGCCACCACACCTGGCCAATCTATTCAGTTTTACTTAGTATGACCATAAGGCAAGATTTTTATAAACCTTTTATTAACCCCTTACAATTTTTGTTAAAAAGCAGATCCTTGCTCCAAGAAAAATCTGTTGTGCTTTTATTCCAACATTTAATTTACAGAAAAACTGAATAATACCCCTTTAACTTTAGCCAGTATGTTCACACAGAATTTCTTTTACCAGGTTAATTTTTCACAAACCTTCAACAGCTTGCTTAAACCTTCAGCTTTAGCCTATCTAATTTAAAACAATCATTTAACCTTTTAATCTAGGCCAAAAAAACCCACATTTCCATGCCTTCTTATAATCAATTACCAAAAACAGATTTCACTTTCTGTATTCACTTTATATGTAAAACTGTTTTTATTTCCCAAAAATTACTTAAGTCATGTAAACTGAAAGGCATTACACTTTTTACTTTTCTGACAAAATATTTGATTTAAGCTCTTATTACACCAGTTAATCAAACATTACACACATAATACGTATAAATACACAGACAGGAAATACAGGCCTCATTCCCTAAGCTTGGAATTGAACACTGATTCCAGGCTACCATTGTGATAGCAGAGACCAAGATAAAGTACTGCCACGTGGCTACAAGGCCGAGCTCCCAAGGACATGAAAGAAGATAAGAGAGAAACTTTATCTAGTGTTTTTTCAGGTACTTGTAGCAAAATTTATAACTGACCAGTTTGCTGTGCTGTCTTGAACAGTGGGCTTATAAGAGTCCTAGGCCCACATCCTATCCTATGGTATGCCTCTCTATGACAGAATGATATAGAAAGACAAATTTATAACACACAGTACAACAGCTTCTCTACAGCTTAAGATTAGCCTCACAAATCCTTTTTTCCTGTTAATCAAAACTTTGCAGGAGATAAACAGTGATTTTTACCATTCATTCAGCCAGTTTGCACAGAGAGAGGGAGAGAGAGAAAGACCAGAAGCCTGACTGTAAGACATTCTTATCTTTTTGCTGGCATGCCAGGCTTCTGGGTTCCCTTTCCCTGAGCAGCCCTAGTGACCCGGCTGGCTGCACCACAGCACTGGGGGCCAAGATGCATCATAAAGGAAAACTATCTTTTTCCATCCTGGCCAGAGCAAAATATATATGACAAAACGTAGACATTAGCCGTTCAGCTTAGCACCCAATATCAAACTGGCAAGGCTCAAATATGCCCCTGATTGGCCCCATCATTGTTAATCCAGCTTCCAATCAGGAGTTTCAACTTATGGTCTCTGGGCAAGATGGTGACCCTGAGTAATAGAAAACAGAAAGGGAAAGGAGAGAGGGAAGAGCATTGCCTCTGGCAGGGCAGGGAAGGTGGAGAGCTCAGGGAGGCCATGGAAAGTCCTGCCCACTGCAGCGACACTAAAAAGTTCAGGTGGCTGCTTGTTGATAATGAAGGGATCTTTGCCAGGAGTCCCATCAGCTCTTAAGTTTCCCCTTTTGGGGAGAAAAAATTCCCCATGTCCCATGATCTTGTACATGCCTAATTCTGTCACTTAGCCATCAGCAAAGAGTGCAACGCAGATTCATCCAAAAAGAATAGCAGTTAACATGTAATAATGCCAAACCTGTTCTTAGCTGAAAGGAACTTTACTGACAGGGGCCTCTAACCACCTAAATCTTAGGACAGACTCTAACCTTCCTAAGTTGGGCCTCAAACCCAAAATCTGTCAAGCGTTCTCACCTTTTATTAAGAGGGGCCTTTCACCCACTCTGTCTTAGGAGAGACTCTTAAATTGCGCCTCTAACCCAATCCCATCCTTTTCCCCAGTATATGCACCACACTTACCCAAAATCAGCCAGTTAGTGTGTACAGATGACGATTTTTCTTTGGTTCGTGGGTCTCTTCAGTATCATCCCTTTGGGATTCACCAGAAAGGTGTTACCAGACCCCACCACTTACTCAAAGTTAGCCTTTGGATGGGAGGTTTTCTCAGTATTGTCCCTTCTGTGGTCGCCAGGAACATGTCACCGGACCCCATCACTTGTCAAGGGCAGCCTTTGGGTTGGAGGTTTCCTCAGTATCTTCGCTTCATGGTCACCAGAAAAATGTTACCAGAAAGGGGTCCCCATAGGGACTCCCAGAAAGGGTTCTTGGATCTCACGCAAAAAAGAATTCTAGGCGAGTCCATTATGTGAAAGCAAGTTTGTTAGAAAAGTAAAGGAATAAAAGAAAAATCATCTGTACACACCAACTGGCTGATTTTGGCTACTCCATACACAGCATCCCGAGGGCAGCTGGCTGCCTATTTTTATGGTTATTTCTTAATGATATGCTAAACAAGGGGTGGATTATTCATGCCTCCCCTTTTTAGAGCATATAGGGTAACTTCCTGACGTTGCCATGGCATTTATAAACTGTCATGGTGCTGGTGGGAGTGTAGCAGTGAAGACAACCAGAGGTCACTCTTGCCGCCATCTTGGTTTTGGTGGGATTTAACCGGCTTCTTTACTGCAGGCTGTTTTTTCAGCAAAGTCTTTATAACCTGTGTCTTGTGCCAACCTCCTATCTCGTTCTATGACCTCGATTGCCTGACCATCAGGGAATGCAGCCCAGTAGGTCTCAACCTTATTTTTACCCAGCCCCCATTCACTATGGTGTTGCTCTGACTCTAATGCCTCTGACAATCCCAACGTGGCTGGCAGGAAACCTCGACACAAGCAGGGTTTGGACAGGGCCTTGTGGTCTTCCAGCCTTCCTCAGGATGTGCTGGTTCAGCAGACACTCTTTTAAAGCACTTCAAAAATCCATATTCATACACATGTGCACATGTTCACCTGAAGATACCCCCATGCTCCTGTGCACTCACACCCCCAGTGCTGAGTCCTGTGCGGCCCCACAGTGGCCAAGCTCACAGCTGGTAACAGCCCCTGTGCTGTGCCTGCTTTGGGCATTGTCTGCTCTAGGAGGGGCCCTTGTTTTCATGAAACCCAGTGGTGAAGAGACACCCCTTGGTCCCTCCCTTCCCCTGTTTCTTCATTACCCGTCATTTACCTGCTCCTTCTGTCTGGCCAAGAAAGCATGTCTTGGCCAGGTACAGTGGCTCAGCCAGGCACAGTGACTCACATTTCCTAACCAGCACATTAGGAGTCTGAACTAGGAGGATTGCTTGAGTCCAGGAGTTTGTGACCAGCCTGGGCAACATAGGGAGGTCCCATCTCTACAAATAATAATAATAATAATTAGCTGGGAGTGGCGGTACACACCCATGGTCCCAGCTACAGAGGAGGCTGGGGTAGGAGGATTGCTTGAGACTGTGAGATCCAGGCCGCAGAAAGCCGTGATTGCACCACTGCACTCTGACCTGGGTGACAGAGCAAAACCCTGTCTCCAGAAAAAAAAGAAAGAAAGAAAGCAGGTCTCAAAAGCATTGGATGAGTATTCTTTAACTACAATGTAGCAGACTGTTTATTAAAAATAAAATGTGGTGTTCATTTTTAATCATGTTCAACCCACTTTATTCTCAGATGTAGTCTTCCTGTGAATAACTTTCTTTTCAGAATGGAGGAACCAATCTCTGTGCTGTGGATGACTCCAATGACCACGTGCTCTCTGTATGGGACTGGCAGAAAGAAGAAAAACTGGCCGATGTGAAGGTCATGCTCCAAGCCTTTTCCAGGCTGCATTAATGTTTTCATTAATTAATTAATTAATTTCCAGAGCTGCCCTGGCATAGCTATAGGCCCCTTTCAGCGGGCTCCAGGGCCCATTCCCACCCCAGCCCTTGCATATGATGCCTTCACCTTAGAATCCTTTGGCCCCTCCTGGGACTTTAACCCCAGGTCCTGTTAGGTTTTTTTCTTTTTACCATGTCTGTAAGATTGTTTTCTTTCTCATTTCGTAGCCACTACCCTATTAATCCATCCAGTCATGTGTTTGCTGGCTAGTTCTTTCATTTGATTGACACATCCCAAGTGCCTGCTGTGTGCTCGCATGGCGCATGGACTCCTGGAGGTGTGCTTAGATGTGAGGTGCGCTCGCTGCCCGAGCCCCTGCAGCTGCGGTAAGGGCAGGTACAGACAGGGACCACCAGCACAGGGGCTCCTCCAAAGTGGAACAGACTCAGGAAAGACCAGCAGGAGCCCCCATCTGAACCCCAAATCCTTCCCAATGGGATTCCTCCTGCAAGGGGCCCCTTGGGACTTCTTTGACCGCTTCTAATCCATTTTGCACAATATGTCACATTCCCTTGCCTTGACTTTCTGATGTTTTTCTATTTCTGTTTTCTATTGGATCCCTATTTTTATAGAATTGAATTCAGATTTCTCATCTTTGCCTTTATTACCGTTAGATAACCTTACTCACCTAACTTTCTCTTCTGCATGTCTAGGGGCAGACCTTGTATTCTAACCAGGCATGTTCCTGACACCTGTGTTCATGCCCCAGCCTTGCCTTCTGATTATTCTGGGCGGGTGTTTAAATGCTTCTGGCTATGTTGCTAGGTTAGAAGGCATCAGAGGCAGGTTATTATCCAGGCTCAAGAATGTGTAACTGCATTATTAAATAGAAGCAGTGATCAGAGCCCAATCCAGGAGACCAAGGTGCAGGTCTTAGAATTTAGGATATGAGCTGAGGGTGGTGGAGGTGACACCGGGAGAGTTAGGCCTACTCCACAGGACCCCAGGCTGGGTCACTGAGCCGCAGGCAGTGTCCCAGGAGGCAGAACCAGGAGGGACTCCCTGGGGAAACAGGCAGCCAGAGTCAGCCAGGAACAATGGACCTTTGTGAAATCCATTCCTGGGCCCTCCCTGGAGATTGCATTCACTAAATATGGGGGTGAGGCCTAGAGATCTGCATTTTACCATTTGTGGCGATTCTGTCCCGAAGCCATACTGGGAACCCATGACTGGCAGGTGAGAGCAAACACTTGCAGTTCTGCAGTCCCTGTGCTCTAACTCCCTCCTCAGCAAAGCATGCTGCATGCCTGCTCCATGCCTGACCCTGGAGAGGCCCTGGCATAGACAGAGGACTCACGTGTGCTCCTTGTCCTCAAGGGCTCATTGTCCAGTGGGAGAGACAGACTAGGAGGAGGCATTAGGGCCCACACCAGCATCGACTTGATGTTTCTAGCCAGATGGATTCAATGGGGGAAGTAGTCAAGAGGCATCCTGCTTGGCTTGAATTTGTTATTTATTTGTGACTCAGATTTGACTTATTTTCCTACGTGCCTCTTATGCATCTTAAGAGATGTGAGGCATCTGAGTCCCCTGTTTTTCCTATAGTGCTCTAATGAAGCTGTGTTCGCTGCGGATTTCCACCCCACGGACACCAACATCATAGTCACCTGTGGAAAGTCACATCTCTACTTTTGGACACTAGAAGGAAGCTCCCTGAATAAGAAGCAAGGATTATTCGAGGTGAAGTTAAATTATGCTTTTTGCTTTGTCTTTCTCCGAGTGGTATATGCAGTTGGCTAGAGGTGTCTGTCTGGGGGCTGTGGTAATCAACACGATCCCTCGGGATCTCTCACATAGTTGGGGAGCGCATTGAATCTGGTGGATGACACTGGTAATGAAGTGAAGAAAAGGACAGAGCATGCCTGGGGAGAGGGCAGGGAAAGAATGCAGACCCAGGGAGCACCGAGCCTCCCACAGTGGTGGTGGCGCTGGCTGCAGAGAGCATCAGATGATGAAGGCGTCGGAAGGCGGGCAACCTGGCTCGGTAAAGGACAACAGAGACTCCCTGTGCCTTTTGTGTGGACGTTGCGGGGCTGCAAGAGCACCAGGGAACAGCACCTCTTCCCAGGGGTCCATCTGTGCCACCACCCTGAGGCTCGTTTCAAGGACACCTTTATTCTGGTGCTCAGGCCCTGCCCTTTAGGCTGACAACATAGCCCACCCTTCTCCCCGGCCAGTACCCTCCTCCGCTTGAGCTGTCTGCAGCTTTATGATTCCCCAGCCACTTGGAGTTGCTAGAAATCGCTTTGTCTTAGAGCAGTTAATCTCGCAGCAGAAGTTATGTAATAGTAAATGGAAATGCAAGGTGTGCAGGGTAGTTACAGAAGCTGATACTCTCCAGCTTGAGACCACTGTGAATCTAGATGTTATTAGTACAAATGAAAGGTTGTCTGGAATATATATATAGGTTGCATGGATAAAATATACATATAATTATATACATAAAAGATATGTATATAATACATGTATATAAGGTTTTTTAAGCCCAAGATATTATGATGGAATTAAATAGATTGATTAGGAAATCTACTGACAGATTATAATTAATATATGTATAGAAATATATAAATACGTATCTAGTTGTAATGCTGATATAATTATATAATTAATTGTATATATATATATGTGTATTTATATATTTATATACATATAATTATATCTATAATTACATATATTTATATAGGTTTTATGGATTATATATTATATATATTACTAATTTTTAATATATATTAAAATTATATATTATACATATTACTAACCTATATATTATATATATAATTTTATATCTATAATTTTTTTTTAACTATATTCCACAGAAACAAGAAAAGCCAAAGTTTGTCCTCTGTGTGACTTTCTCTGAAAACGGTGACACCATTACTGGAGATTCAAGTGGCAACATCTTAGTTTGGGGAAAAGGTAACAAGTGATTTTTCCCAAAGCCAGTGGTTTGCGGTATGTTGTGAGTAAGAGCTCAGCATGAGTGCTTTAAGAATTGTCTGTTAATACAATGTATAGGAGTAGGATTAACTTTCAGGTTGCAGAGACATACATATACACATGTACACGTGTAACTTGAAACCAGAAAACTAGAACAGAGGAAAGGTGTAGAATAGTGAGAGTTACTGACCTTATAGCATTCTGAAGGGCTCCTTAAGCCCAGGATATTATGATGGAATTGAATAGGTTGATTAGGAAATCTACTGACAGATTATAATGATGAAATTAATATATAATCTACTGACAGATTATAGTGATGAAATTAATGACTGCTTATAGGTCTATAAAATATTTAAATAACTATTCTGATTTGTATAGCATTTGGCAGACATTTATTGAAAGCTAATTATGTGCTAGACACTGTGAACATACCACTGAGTCAGACCCAAATCCCCTGCTGTCCGTGAGCAAACAGTTTACTAAGGGAGATTCATCACTCAGAAAGCATGTGTCCATTTAAGGCCAGTGAGCGTTTATGAGCACTTATGCAGGGACAGGGAAAAGGGGAAAATCCACCATCCCTGTCGTCAAGGATCTTAGAGTTTGAGTAGTTGGGGCTGAAGGTGGAGACGGACCCGTAAATGCAATTTCAGAAGCATATGGTAACATTCCCTGTATCCCTGCTGCTCTTGGCACTAGGTGTCGTATCCACAGTTCATTTAATCCTTAGATCGATCTTGCAGGGTGAGCAGCAGCCCCATTCCACCAAGAGGGAACTGAGTACAGAGTAACTAAGACACTTGTCCAGAGAAACAGCTCACTAGAGAGCTGGGATCTAAACTCACAGCCCACTTTCTCAGCCGCATGGTGCTTCAACCATACAATGCAGTGTTTGCATATTTTCCTTCATTCTAAAGTAACACCTTTCCTGCTTGTCTGGTGCTCTGTGAATGTCTAGAAATTGGATCTTCATAGATTCATATTGCCATGATGTGCTCACTGACAATATTGCCTTTAAAAACCAAAGTCAGGTGAGATTAGAAAATGGGCAGGCAGCCTTTTGACAATGTGCTAATGATGGTTTATTGGTGTGTTTAGGCACGAATCGAATAAGCTATGCGGTTCAAGGGGCCCACGAGGGTGGCATTTTTGCACTTTGTATGTTAAGAGATGGCACACTGGTGTCCGGAGGCGGGAAAGACCGAAAGCTCATTTCTTGGAGCGGAAACTATCAAAGACTTCGTAAAACTGAGGTAAGTCAGCAAGGCTACTGCTGAAATTTGTTTTTAACCTTAAACTATTATTCTCTTTTTATTAGTTTCAAATCTGTAGCTTACAGTTTTGAAAGCTGTACATTATATGGAAGCAGTGTGTTAAAATCCTGGAGGCAGGTTAAATACAGCTAATAAAATAGAATTCGTTTTATACAACTTGAGATTGTAACACACTTTATATTTAAAATATTTTTATTCTCAATTTTCCAAGGGACTATTAACCACATTTTGTATATTATAAAAATCTATCTTCTCTTTTAACTTTTTCTTTTTCTTTTTTTTTTGAGAACAGGGTCTAGCTCTGTCACCCAGACTGAGTGTAGTAGTGCGATCACAGCTCAGTACAACCTCTGCCTCCTGGGCTCAAGCGACCCTCCCACCTCAGCCTCCCAAGGAGCTGGCGCACACACCACCACGCCTGGCTAATTTTTGTACTTTTTGTAGAGATGGGGTTTCGCCATGTTGCCCAGGCTGGTCTGGAACTCCTGAGCTCAAGAGATCCTCCCACCTCAGCTTCCCAAAGTGCTGGATTACAGGTGTGAGCCACCAAGCTTAACTTTTTTTTTTTTTTTTGAGGCAGAGCCTCACTCTGTCACCCACGCTAGAGTGCAGTGGCACAATCTCAGCTCAGTCCAACCTCTGCCTCCCAGGTTCAAGCAATTCTCCTGCCTCAGCCTCCTGAGTAGCTGGGACTGCAGGCGCCTGCCACCATGCCCGGCTAATTTTTGTATTTTTAGTAGAGATGGGGTTTCACCATGTTGGCCAGGATGGTCTCGATCTCTTGACCTCGTGATCTCCCTACTTCAGCCTCCTAAAGTTCTGGGATTACAGATGTGAGCCACTGTGCCCAGCCACCTCCTTTAACTTTTCATTTCTATCGTTATTTTGGAGACATTATTGCATTGAGTGAACTAATATTTGTTGAGTATCTACTTTGTACACGGCACTCAACATGCTCCCTAGGGCTGTGATTCATTTTGCTACCCAGGGTACCTCCCCATCACCTACTTAGCAGCCCTACATTCCTGGCACCAGAGGCAAGACAGTTAATATTACTTCTTCCCACTCAGTGAATTTTCTCCCCTAGGTTTCAGGAAATCATGAGCAGACACTGCAAAATTGGCCTCATTCTGAAGGGTGATTTTTTTTTTTTTTTTTTGAGACAGAGTCTCATTCTGTCACCCAAGCTGAAGTGCAGTGGCACAATCTCGGCTCATTGCAGTCTCCACCTCCCAGGTTCAGGCGATTCTCCTGCCTTGTCCTCTTCAGTAGCTGGGACTACAGGCATGTGCCACCACACCCAGCTGATTTTTTTGTATTTTTAGTAGAGACTGGGTTTCACCGTGTTAGCCAGGATGGTCTCGATCTCCTCACCTCTTGATCCACCCACCTCATCCTCCCAAAGTACTGGGATTACAGGCGTGAGCCACCGTACATGGCCAAGGTGATGCTTTTCATCCCTAGCTTCGAATGGACAGATTGTAGGACTTTGAACCCAGATACACACAAAACACTTATATTTTACATCAGAGAACAACATGGCACTATCCTCTGGCAGTGTGAAAATTTGGTTCTGTTGATTATTTCCCTTAATAAAGGAAGTTCTTCATCTGAGGTTTGGAAATCACTTCCCCTTGCATGAAGATTCTGTTGTGAGAACATTTTTAATAATAAGATTTGACCAGCATTGAAAAAAAAAAAAAGATTTGACCAGCATTTGGTTGAACAGATTGTGAATTGCTAGAGTCATAGACATGCCTATATCATATTATAACTGCAAAGAAAGCTCCAAAGCCCCATCTAATTTCATAAAAGTGATTCACTATTTGTTAGTATCTGATACCTCCTCATTAGCGTGGGCCATCATCAACTTGTCTCAAATCTGTGCTAACAAGCCACACTGGAGAGTGTGAGTGAGGGGAGGCTGCTGCTTACCCTGGAACGGGAGAGCCTAACGGCAGCCCCCAGGGTCAAGCTGTGGTGTTTGTTGTTTTATAGTGCAAGGACTTTGCTTCTTCATCATGGCAGATTGTTCTTAATGGGTGTGTTGTGCAATTCTATCTCTTAACATAAATTATTCCATATATCTATGTTGATTTTTAAACTGAACAGAGTGACATTGCCAAAGAATTTACCATTTTAAGTTGTATTATGGCAGTGTTATATTATTCTTTTTTTTTTTTCTTTGAGACAGTCTGGCCCTGTCACCCAGGCTGGAGTGCAGTGGTGTGATGCAGTGGTGTCATCTGCAGCCTCCACCTCCTAGGCTCAAGTGATTCTCCCACCTCATCCTCCTGAGTAGCTAGGACTACAGGCATGCACCACCATGCCCCGCTTCTTTTTTTTTTTTTTTTTTTTGTATTTTTTTAGAAATGGGGTCTTGCTATGTTACCCAGGCTAGTCTGGACCACCCAGGCTCATGCAATTCACCTGCCTCAGCCCCCCAAAGTGCTGGGATTACAGGTGTGAGCCACCACGCCTGGCCTATATTATTCTTTACTTTCCAAATTGTATCTACTACTGCTATCAGAAGTTGTAAAAAGTAAAGAGAAAACTAACGTGTAGAATTCCTTATTTTTAAATTTTGTCTAGGAAAATGCTTTTTCTGAACAACCTTACTCTTGCTGATGCTTCTAAGATATATAAAATGTTTGTAGTTTAAAAGTAAGGCTTAGGGTTTTGATCACTCACTCAATAGTTGGCTGTGGTATCCTTGTTTTTTGAGATGGAGTTTCGATCTTGTCGCCCAGGCTGGAGTGCAGTGGCGCAATCTCGGCCCACTGCAACCTCCGCCTCCTGGGTTCAAGTGATTCTCCTGCCTCAGCCTCCTGAGTAGCTGGGATTACAGCTGCCCACCACCATGCCTGCCTAATTTTTGTATTTTTAGTAGAGATGGGGTTTCATCATGTTGGCCAGGCTGGTCTCCAACTCCTGACCTCAGGTGATCCACCCACCTCAGCCTCCCAATGTGCTGGGATTACAGGTGTGAGCCACCGCGCCCACTGGCTGTGGTATCTATCTATCTGAAACTCTTCATATATATGTATATATGCATATACAACATATATATTTGAATGTACATTATATGCATATACATAGATATATATAAAATTGTTATAGAGACTATCATTATGATAAATGAATGAATGAGCTAACAATTGAATGAAATGGTATATCTTTTCTTTTCATATGACTTTTCAATGCAGATTCCAGAACAGTTTGGTCCAATACGGACAGTGGCCGAGGGCAAAGGCGATGTGATCTTGATTGGCACAACTCGAAACTTTGTCCTGCAGGGCACTCTGTCAGGGGACTTTACACCCATTACTCAGGTACGATCCCACTCAGCAGGCCCAGCAAACACTCTCACTTTGCATTATCTCAGACTCTAATCAAGCATTACGAAGAAGTGCTCATTACTGTGTTTTATGCTACGATAATTTTCTCCACCTCAGAGTTTCAGTTGCTGCCCTAAGATGGGAGGAGAGAAAATGTTGGGAGCAGTTATGAAGTCAGCATGAAGCCACAGTTCACCATCCCTTACAGCTCCTGAGTGCGGACTGCAGTAGCTCAGAGAGCTTCTGTTTGTCTTGGTTTTTTGTAGGGTCACACTGATGAGCTCTGGGGACTGGCCATCCATGCCTCAAAACCTCAGTTCTTGACCTGCGGGCATGACAAGCATGCCACTCTCTGGGACGCTGTGGGTCACCGTCCTGTCTGGGACAAAATAATAGAGGTAAACATGTACATTACGTTTCCATTGTTCTTACAGAAGTTCATCTGAAACATGTTCATTTATTTTTTTTGCATGAAATCAACAGCGATATAAAACTGTCCCAAAGCAAATGTCATCTAATTTACCTATTTAGAATTGCCTTAACATTGCAATTGCATTTAACATTGCATTTAACAGTGTTACTTTCACCATTGCCTCAAGTGGTCTCAGCCATGTAAGTTTGAAGTTTACTGTTGAAATTTTCTGAAAACAAGTTGTTCTTTTCAAGTTCATTGTCAGATTTTCTGAGTACAGTCTCTCTCACCCACCTTAAGAACTGGGAAGTACTTGTTATGAGCCTGCGTTCTGTTTACTGGGTACCCTTTGGGAATTTACAAGCTGTACTAAACACATGATTGAATATATCTCTACATTTTGACTTTGATGGTAAAGTAAACTTTTTGTTTGAAAGTCTTTGTGAACTTTGCAAAAGAAACTCTGATGACCTGTGAGAGTGTTGAAATACCCTTTCCCCACATGTATTTCTTGAGCACTGACTGTGCGTGCCAAGCACGGTGCGTGTATTTTCCTTAATCCTTGTAGCAGCTCTGCAGGTCGAAGAGGTTTTTTTTAACTTTGATTTTATTGATTAGGAAGTTGAGGCATAGAGAAGTTAAAATAACTTGCCACGGTCACTAAGTTAGTGAGTGACGGAGCCAGTGTTAGGACCTAGCTCAGTCTGACTCCTAAACTCTTGTTCTTTCCACTGCATTGCACTGCAGTGAACCAAAAGCTCATTCTCTGTTGCCTGTGCCCTCATGATCTGTGCAAACCCATTGCACAGAGGAAATAGCCCCTCTGTAAACCAAACACATCATCCTTTCATCCCCCACAGAGTCATTGGCATGTCCCAGGTGCTAGGTCGAAGTTTCGGCTCTCCTTCCCATCATTTTCACAGAAGGGGTGCGAGGGCCAGCTGAGTTACGAGGTGGAAGGGCCCAAGGGGCAGGCACTGCCACTCAGCAGGTATGGGCCAGAATGGCAGGCAGGAGCTAAAGGAAACAGTGTTCTGTGTTCTACCTGTGCCCTGGTGGTCCAGGAGGGCTGAAGGCAACGACAGCTCCTTTACCAGCCTGTTAATCACTTAGCCTAACATAAGGGTCAGAGCTCTAAACTGGAAGCCCGAGAACTGCAATGAAGTCTTAGCTCCTCTGCCTACTGGCTTCCGACATCTGTAACTCAGTGTCCACATCTCAAAATGGTTACGAGGCCCAGATGAATGACGTAGACAGAAGTGCTTTATAAATGGTAAAGCTTCAAGTGAACACGATTTCTGTTTGTATGTTAGTGGCAGCTCTGAGCTTAATTACAGCTGCTACTGTAGAAAGAATGCATTGAAATAATGGAATCGTGTATCAAGTTTCCTTCTCTTGGTTTTTTTAGATTATCCAGTAGTATCTCAGTGCCTCCTTTTTCAGCCCCATTGCTACTTTTTTTCTGATATTCTTTAATCTCTTCCCGTTTCATCCTAAACACTCCTGCCAGGTGCCCTTCTATCTAAAACACACATTCAATCATGTCACTCTTTTTATTGACAGGACAAGAACCATTCAAAGTGTTCTTATTTCCTAGTGATCAAATCCTTACCTTGGTGGTGACATCACTAGTGTCATACACTCTGTGCTGTAAGCCCACTGACCTACCTGCCATTTCTCAAATGTGCCCAGAGCTGTGTTGTTTCCGTCACTTTAATTATATTGTTGCCCGCTTCACCGTGGTCCAAAAAACTACTGGAGTGGCCACATCCCACCTTCACCAGAGATAATTCTTCCCCTCCTGGGAGGCCCAGGTCCAGTCATTGGCACCACAAAGCCTTGGCCCAGCTTCCCAGGGTAACCTCCTCTCTCCCTCCCCTGTGATTGCACAGCACCTTGATTTGTATCTCCTTCATGGATCATTCCATCTTGTATCCGAGTTAGTGATGACCGTGTGTGCATGTTCCACTGGATCAAAACCTAGAACATGCCTTGCACATCTTGTGATCCTTCCAGGCCTCTGTAGTGTTTTGCACCCAGTGGGCACTCACCCAGTCTTCGTGTAATGGAGTCGGGTGCCACGGTTGTCTTTCCAGACCAATCAAGCACACTATTCGATGAGCTTACCATTCAGCACAGGGAGTCAACTGAAGGGGTGGGGTTCTACAAACTGTGGCTTTGCAGAAGAGCATTTACCTGTCTTTCATCAGATTACTATAGATATGAAAGGATTTAACACAAAAAGGGAAAAACCCTAAAAGGACAGAAATTTAGGTTAGGCTCAGTGGCTTACACCTATAATCCCAGCACTTTGGGAGGCAGAGCCAGGAGGATCACTTGAGTCCCGGAGTTCAAGACCAGCCTGGGCAGCATAGCGAGACTCCATCTCTACAGAATAAAAAACAAAAAAATTAGCCAGGTGTGGCGGCACACGTCTGTAGTCCCAGCTGCTTCAGAGGCTGAGCCAGGCGTGTCATTTGTCCTTGGGAGGTCAAGGCTACAATGAGCCATGATCATGCCATTGCACTCCAGCCTGGGCGATAAGTGAGATCCTGCCTCAAAAAAAGGATTGGGTGGGGTAGAAATTTAGCATTATTGAAACATGGCATTTATTCAAGTAGGAAAACATTTTTCTCTAGAGAGAGAAAAGAGACTTTTCAAATAGAGCCACATAGCCCTAAGGAATTAGAACTCCGTGTGTGTGTGTGTGTGTGTGTGTCTGTCTGTCTGTCTGTCTGTGTGTGTGTGTGTGTGTGTGTGTGTGTGTGTTATGCTATAGTGTTGTATCTGTTCATCAATTTACACTTCCTTTAAAATGTTTTAGGATCCAGCTCAGTCTTCTGGTTTTCATCCTTCAGGGTCTGTGGTTGCAGTCGGAACACTCACTGGGAGGTAGGTCCATGCCAGCATGGCTTGTGCTTGCAAAGCCTGTGGAAGGGAGGCTTGTTGTTTCTACTTCCCCAGGAACAGGCCCCCATTCAGCTCTTGGCTGCATGTTCGCAGCTTCTAATGACTTACCAAGAATTAAGTTGAAAGCGAAACTTGAAACAGTGGCCCATTACATTTTGAGCCTTGGGGAAATCTGAGGAAAGCTCTAGACCCTCCCTCCTGGAAAAGGACCTCCACAAGACACACACACATTTTTTTTTCTTTAGACAGTATCTCACCCTGTCACCCAGACTAGAGTGCAGCGGCACAGTCACAGCTCACTAGAGCCTCCAGGACCCAAGTGATCCTCCCACCACAGCCTCCTAAGTAGCTGGGACTATAGGCATGCATCGCCATGCTCAACTAATATTTTATTTTTTGTAGAGACACACGTCTCGCTGTGTTCCCCAAGCAGTTCTTGAACCCCTAGACTCAAGCAGTCCTTCCACCTTGGTCTCCCAAAGTGCTAAGATCACAGGCATGAGCCACCACACCCAGCCACACACACATTTTGCCTGTAATTTCAGAGGATTTATGGAGCTTCCCAATCCCTGATCTTGAGACTGTGGAAGGAGCCTTGACTTTGGAATGAAGCAAGAAAATATTTCAAAGTTCTGAGCATTTAGAAATGCTTTTTCTATTCCTGGCTACAGTGGCTCACACCTGTAATCCCAGACCTTGAGAGGGCTAGTCAGGAAGATTGCTTGAGGCTAGGAGTTCAAGACCAGCCTGGGCAACATAGCAAGACCCTATCTCTATAAAAAATTTAAAATTGAGCTTGGTAATACAGGTATGGTGGTCCAGACCTGTATTAGCTACTCAGGAGGCTAAGGCAGGAGGATCTCTTAAGATCAGGAGTTCAAGGCTGCCTTGGACTATGATTGCACCACTGTACCCTCGCCTAGGCCACAGACCAAGACCCCATCTCTAAAAAAATTAAAAATAGAAAATAAATGCTTTTTCTATCTGCCCTTTCAAAATTGTAGGAACTACCCAGACCCTGAGCCTCTTATTCCAATATACCTATTCACCTGGCACCTCCTATGCACTGGATAGTGGGTCTGCGTTTTTGGCTCAGCTTTGCCGCATAGCAGCAGTGTGGCTTTGAACCAGTTATATAAACTCTCCGAATTTGTTTCTTTTTCTGTAAATTATTATATTCCCTGCCTGGCTGTGTCACACTGAGGATGAAAGGAGACAACGCAGAGAGCACCTGCCAAGGCTGCCTGGCAGGCATTGCAGTGGCTGTCATAGGTTTCGATTGAACCTTTATGCTGCTCATGGTCCTGTATGCATTTACTGTGGTTTCAGTCAAATATTTTTCCTCCCACCCTTCCTCTCTAAAAAGCACAGCACTTAGATTCTGTTACTATGACTGCAGAGCCTGTATGGATGAAGAAAGGGGAGCAAGAGAGCTCTTTGTAGGCCATGGACAGCAATATCTTAATGTTGGTCTCCATGTAACCAACAGAATTCTTCATGCAAACATTTGCGTAGAGAAACACACACACACACACACACACACACACACACACACACACACACGCTCCCATTTTACTCTCTTTGAGACAGCTGAAGCTTCTAACTCATCAGCAGGCTCCCACCTTCTGATGACTGACCTCCCAACAGGCTGACAGATGCCGCCATGCCTACTGTGCGTGTAGAACATGGTGACAGTGCTCAGAATCAGTGTCCCAGGGTGGTGGATATGGCTTGTGTCACCTAATCCAGCCCCTCATCTATGCTTCTTGCCATTCAGGTCCTAGGTTGGACTTAGTTCCCAATGCTGTTGATTTAACAGGATACTTTAAAGCCATGTTCCAATTGGCCCCAGCCTCTATTAAGGTTAAATAGCACATTAAATGTAAATGGTTGTTGAGGGTGTAAGAAATTGGCACTGAGAAGCAAAGTCCACATTTCAGGGGGACAGGACATCTGACATTGCATGGTTAGGGGGTCTCCTGTGGAAGACAAGGGACACGCACTCTGCATCAGTGGACATACTGATGGGTTGTCCTCATGCAGGTTAGAAACTGCAGGAGGAGGGACCCTGCATTCCATTTATCCTTAAAAACACCAGGGGCTCACCAGCACCCCCTGAGAATATAACAGGCAGGAGAGCTCAGTCATTCTGATGTTAACAAACATTTAGTGTGGACTGTGTGCTTATCAGAGGATACAAAGCACTTCATGTCCATTATCATTTGACTTTAATATTGAGTCTGCAAAATAGACCTGGACTGTCCTCCGCAGCTCACCACTGAGGAAATGGCCCAGCCAGGTGAAATCAGACCAGTCCTCCACTCCGGTTTCTTCCATTTGCTCTGTGCATTCCTCCACCCTGTTGGTTGCAGGCTGGCATCCCCATAGGGTCTGTACTCTCGGCCTGCCTCTGCCTGCAGTACCATTGGGACACCACCCCGGAGTTTTCCCAGCCCCATCCTCGTGCATGCTCCTGCTTCACCCTGGAAACCTGGGTGAGCTCTTGCAGGCGGTCCTTCACTGCTTCCTCTGACCATACGCCCTGGTACTAGGTATTGGCATCTTCTCTGCCCACAGCTTTCTCTCCTTCTATGTATAAATGACAAAGCACAAACACAGAGAAACTGTGCCATAGTGTTGATAACAGCATAGTTTTGAATGGGAACCAATGTGCCATTCCTTTCATTAGAAAAATGCTTCTATATAGGAAATTTTCTTTAAATAAAAACTGGGAACAAGCTTTCTTATTAAGCAAATTTCATATCTTTATTAAGCTTTTATGATTAATAATTCTTAGTCCTCCTACTGTTGTAATAATCTTCATTTTCTCACTAAACGACTTACTGTGCTTTTTCTCATGTTGACAACAGGTGGTTTGTGTTTGACACAGAAACAAAAGACTTGGTCACCGTTCACACAGATGGAAACGAACAGCTCTCAGTAATGCGTTACTCACCAGGTTAGACTCCAAACCATTCACTGCTTTTTTTTAATCAACTTTTATTTTATGTCATGGGGTACATGTGCAGATTGTGCAGGCTTGTTACACAGGTAAACATGTGCCATGGTGGTCTAATGCACAGATCAACCCATCACCCAGGTATTAAGCCCAGCACCCATTAGCTGTTGTTCCTGATGCTCTCCCTCCCCCTCAACCCTGTCCGGCAGGCCCCAGTGTGTGCTGTTCCCCACCCAGTGTGTCTGTGTTCTCATCATTCAGCCCCCACTTCCAAGTGAGCACATGCAGTGTTTGGTTTTCTGTTCCTGAATTAGTTTGCTGAGGATTATAGCTTCCAGCTCCATCCATGTCCCTGCAAAGGGCATGGTCTTGTTCCTTTTTATGGCTGCATAGTATTCCATGGTGTATATCTACCACATGTTCTTTATCCAGTCTACTATTGATGAGCATTTGGGTTGACTCCATGTCTTTGCTATTGTATTCACTACTTTAAAATCCCAACAGAATTGAGATTCTGTGTCAGTGTCTTTAAAGAAAAAATTTCACAAGCCTCTCAGAGTGAAATGTAAATTAGATATGCACGTAATTGCGGCATTTAGGGTTCTTTTCCCTCCTTTGGGTCACAATGCTTGTGTTATGGAAAATTTCAAACATAGAAAAAATTAAACAGAACAGAATCATGAACCCATGTACTCATCAGCCAGCTTCAGTCGTGATCAGCCCTCAGCCAGTTTCCTCCATCTGTAGTCCCACCCACCGCCCCACCTTCCATATTTTGAAGCAGTTCCCAGACATCTCATCATTTCATCTGTTAATATCCCAAAAAGATGAAGATGCACTTTTTTTTTTTTTTTTTTTTTGAGGCAGAGTCTTGCTCTGTTGCCCAGGCTAGAGTGCAGTGGCAAAATCTTGGCTCACCGCAAATTCCGCCTCCCAGTTTCAAGCAATTCTCTTGCCTCAGCCTCCCAAGTAGCTGGGATTATAGGTCCACACCACCATGCCCAGCTAATTTTTGTATTTTTAGTACAGATAGGGTTTCACCATCTTGGCCAAGCTGGTCTCGAACTCCTGACCTCGTGATCCACCCGCCTTGGCCTCCCAAAGTGCTGGGATTACAGGCATGAGCCACTGTGCCCAGTCGATAAGGACGCTTTTAACAGCTCTACTGAAGAATGATTTACATACGATAATTAACTGTTATAAATGTACAGCTCATTTATTCTTTGTAAACTTGTAGAGTTTTGCAACAACCATCACTATAGTGCAGTTTTTTAACCTTTTCATCACCCAAAACGTTTCCTCCATGCCCATTAGCAATTCACCTCCACCCCCAGTCCAAGGAAACTACTGATCTGTTTTATTTTTCCAAAAACTGCTTTTTCTGAACATATCGTGTAAATGGATTCTTACAATGTGTACTCAGTTGCATCTGACTTTCATGTATAATCATGTATTTGAGATTAATCTTTGTTATTGTGCGTGTGGCAGAAGTATATTCCTTTTCATTGCTGAGTAGTTTTCCATCTTATGGATATATGCCACATCTTGTTTATCCATGCATCAGTTAATGATGGATTTTTTTTTTTCTGAGACAGAGTCTTGCTCTGTTGCCCAGGCTGGAGTGCAGTAGTGCAATCTCGGCTCACTGCAACCTCCACCTCCCAGGTTGAAGTGATTCTCCTGCCTCAGCCTCCCAAGTAGCTGGGATTACAGGCGTGCGCCACCATGCCCAGCTAATTTTTGTATTTTTAGTAAAGACGGGGTTTCAATATGTTGGCCAGGCTAGTCTCAAACTCCCGGCCTCAGGTGATCCACCTACCTTGGCCTCCCAAAGTGCCAGGATTCCAGGAGTGAGCCACTGCACCTGGCCTCATGGATTTAGATTGTTTCTAGTCTTATTATTATGAATAATGCTATGAACATTTATGTATATGTCTTTTTATAGTCATATGTTTGTTTTCATTTCCCTTGGGTAAATTCTTAGTTGTGGAATTGGCGGATTGTATGGTAAACTTCTGTTTAACATTTAATGAAACTGCCAGACTGCCTGTCCTGTTTTACATTCTCACCAGCCATGTGCTCAGGCTGTAGTAACTCCACAGCCTCCCAATACTTGTTATTGTCTTTTTTATTACAGTAATTCTAAGGAGGGTGTAATGGCATCTCATTGTGGTTTTAATTGGTGTTTCTCTAATGACTACCAATATTGAGCATTTTTAATGTGCATATTAGCCATTCCAATATCTTCTTTGGTGAAATATCTTCAAATATTTTGCCAATTTTTAATTGGGCTGTTTTTCTTACTATTGAGTGGTAAGTTCTCTTTATATATTCCTTATAGACAGTATCAGATAGATGATTTGCAAATATTTTTTCTGAATGTATGGGTTATCTTCCATTTTCTTTTGGTTTTGTTTTGTTTTGCTGTTGTTGTTGTTGTTTTTTTGAGACAGTGTCTCACTCTGTCACTCAGGCCGGAGTGCACTGGCATGATCATAGCTCACTGCAGCCTTGACCTCAGATCTAAGCAGTCCTTTCCCCTCAGCTTCCCAAGTAGCTGGGAACACAGGCACACACCACCACACCTGGCTAATTTTCATATTTTTGTTAGAGATGGGGTTTTACCATGTTGCCAAGGCTGGTCTTAAACTCCTAGGCCCAAGTGATCCGACTGCCTCGGCCTCCCGAAGTGCTGGGATTATAGTCGTGAGCCATGCCCAGCCTTCATTTTCTTAATGGGGTTTTTCAAAGCACAAAAGCTTTTAATTTTGCTGAAGTTCAGTTTATCAGTTTTTTCTTTTGTAGATCATGGCTTTGGGGTCATATCCAAGTCAATGAAGATGTTCTCGTATGCTTTCTTTTAGAAGAGTTGTTTTAGCCCTTACATGCGGCCCTGTGATCCATTTGAGTTAATTACACAAGAGTTATGCCAGGCTAATTTGTGTATTTTTAGTAGAGACGGGGTTCCACCAGCTTGGCCAGGCTGGTCTTGATCCACAAGAATGGTGAGAGGGGAGAGCCTGTTTGTTCTGCATAGAGCTATCTAGTTGTCCCAGCACTTTTTACTGGAAACACAGCCTCTCCCTGTTGAATTATCAATGACCCTTTTGTCAAAAATCAATTGATCATAAATGTAAAGGTTTATTTCCATATACTCAGTTCTGTCCTCTTCACCTACGTTTATCCCTGTGCCCACAAGCCTTGATCACTATGACCCTAGAGGAAGTTTTCAAACTGAGTAGTGTAACTGCTGCCACTTTGTTGTATTTTTTTTTTCAAAATAATGTTGGCTATTTTAGGTGCCTACTATATATAAAATTGTATGTAAATTTTAGGATCAGCTTGTCTTATTTATTATTTTGGGTTTTTTTTATTTTTTTGTAGACACAAGGTCTTACTTTGTGGCCCAGGCTGGTCTCAAACTCCTCCTGGCCTCCAGAGATCCTCCCACTTCAGCCTCCCAGAGTGTTAGGATTACGGGTATGAGCCACCAGGCTAGGTCAGCTTGGCAATTTCTAACTTTGAAAAGCCTATTAGGATTTTAAGAGGGATTTTATTTACTTTACAGGTCAATATGGGGGAAATTGCCACCTTGACAATAGTGAATCTTCTAATCATGAGCAAAGAATGTCACTCCATTTAATTAGATGTTTAATTTTTCTCAGCATTGCTTTATAGTTGTTGGTGTACAAGTCTTGCACTTCCTTTGTTCAATTTATTCCAAAGTAAGTTATTTTGTATGTCGTTGTGAATGGAATTGTTTTCTGAATTTTATTTTCAGTTACTTGGCTGCCTGTATGTACAAATAGAATTGAATTTTGCACATAGATCTTATATCCTATGAGCTTTCTAAACTTCTTTTATTAGTTTTAGTGTAGTAGTCCGTCCTAATCCACAGGGGCTACCTTCCAATACCCCTAGCAGGTACCTGAAACCATGGATAATACCAAACCCTATGTGTACTATGTTTTTTCCTATACAGACATGCCTGTGGCAAAGTTTAATTTATAAATCAGGTACAGTAAGAGATTAATGACAATAATAATAAATTAGCACAATTATAACAATGTATTGTCATATGAATTACATGAATATGGTTTCTCTCTCAATACTGTATTATACGTAATATTTGCAGACCACAGTTAACCACAAGTTTCTGAAACCACAGAAAGTCATTTAAGTCTTATTATTAATATCACTACCTTTGATTAATTTTCCTCTGTTTTTCTGAGAAGAAAAAGCATTCAGTCTTTCATCATGAGGGATAAATATGCCCTTTATCATAGTGAGAAAGTTCCCTTCTATTCCTAATTTGTTTGGAGGTTTTAGCACGAATGGGATTGGAGTTTATCAAATGCTTTTTCTGCATCTGTTGGGATGATTATGTGAGTTTCCTCCTTTGTCTTATTATCAGCCAGGAATATGCTCACCCATACAATAACTGTAACCTCAGGCAAGTAGAAACCTTGTCCCTACCCCCGCCCCCATCTTCCCTGGAGATGGTCTCTCCCATTGCCAGTGCTGCCATTCCCCAGGCACCATCTGGAGTGAGCCCCTTTGGCCACAGCTGCACGGTCTCCAGCGCCTGCTCTTCCCTGGCAGGACCTCTGTGCTGGGCCAGCTGCTGGGAAGGAGCGAGGGTAGCCCAGGGAAGAACACTATGGATTCACCTTGTTTCTACCTGAAGTCCAGAAGGTTTTCAGACATAAACATTTCTCAGATTTTCATGTCTTTGTTCAATTTGCAGAGCATGGAAATGGTTGCTTTTGTCATTTTATAGAATTTCACAATTGCTTTATGTGGAGAGGATTTGCCAACCTCATTTGGCCACAGCTAGAAGAATGGCCCTCTTTTGTTGTTGTTGTTCATTTTGTTTTTTTTAAGACAAAGTCTTGCTCTGTTGCCCAGGCTGGAATACAGTGGCACGATCTTGGTTCGCTGCAACCTCTGCCTCCCGGGTTCAAGCAATTCCTGTGCCTCAGCCTCCTGAGTAGCTGGGA